GAATCCAGTCTGTGGCCAGTCAGAAAATAATCTATGGTTCAGTGGTTCTAGTCAGTGCCTGTTGGGTGGTGCCCATCATATGACAATGTAGTAAGCTTAAAAATCGCTCCTTTAGTTAAGTCCTTTTCCAGTGTCTTCTCAGAAGACAAGGCTGTTGAGAGCATTGTTGAGCTCAGCCTTCCTCACTGTGAAAATGTTTTGCTTTTTCTCTCTGGTCCTAGAGCCCAACCAGAAAAGCACAAAGGCCAAAGAGTCTCCAGCTGATGGATAATCGGCTCTCACCATTTCACGGTTCTTCACCTCCTCAGTCAACGCCCTTGAGCCCACCTCCACTCACTCCCAAAGCCACCAGGACCCTAAGTAAGTTTTCCTGTATTCCTTAGAGTGTTTATACCAGGGAATGGAGCATGTTTATGCACCTGGGCATTTTGTAACTAAACCAGCCACAATGTATGTAAAGCCATTGTAAAACTGGTTCAATTCAGCATTCGTGTATTATACAGTTAGACTGGAGTTTGGCAAGGAGGCCACTAGGACTCATTAAACCTTTCTGGATAGTGATCCAAAGGGCATTAGTGTCTGTTTTATAATTGTGAAGGTATAAATGAGGCAGATCTGCACTAGGACTAGACAGACAACAAGTAACTTACAAGCTAACCATTGGTTAGGTAGACCTCGACAGGGACAAGAAATAGACCCATTCCATCTACTGCTTGTAGTCTGGCTTGGGGAACCAGCAGTGCACAACACTTGAGAAGAATCGGGTACCCAAAGTCCAGAGGCATGGGAGAGGGATAAATCTGTCAGAGCCAGATGGGAGACAGTTGTCAACCAAGGGTTAAGAGATTATCAGTTACAGTTGGGATGAAGTGAATATTTTCCTAAGCACTTGAGCTATATCAGAGAACAGAATAATACCATACATTCCGGAAAATGTTCTCATCTTCAGCTTAATAGTAAAACCCTGAACAAAAAATAAAGTTTTGGCCAGGTGCGGTGGCTCACGCCTGTAATCCCAGCACTTTGGGAGGCTGAGGTGGGTGGATCACGAGGTCAGGAGATCGAGACCATCCTGGCTAACACAGTGAAACCTCGTCTCTACTAAAAATACAAAAAATTAGCCGG